TACTACAGTAGCTGATATTGTTTCAGTTGTAAACTCAGTCATAGATGATGTATTCTGCTCTGCTGTTGTTGAAGAAACCGGAGATGGAGAGGTACCGGTTGTGTATAGTGTTTCCATTGTAGAAGATTTCGATGTGATTGTAGTCCCAGTGGACTCTTCTGTTGTGAAGGATGTTGATTCTGGTATTGTGGGGGAACTATCAGGACTGGTTGGTGTCTGTTGGCTTGTGGTTAGTCCTACAGTAGCTGATATTGTTTCTGTTGTAAACTCAGTCATAGATGATGTATTCTGCTCTTCTGTTGTTGAAGTAACCGGAGATGGAGAGGTACCTGTTGTGTTTATTGTAGTTTCCATCGTAGAAGATTCCGATGTGATTGTAGTCCCAGTGGACTCTTCTGTTGTGAAGGGTGTTGATTCTGTTATTGTGGGGGAACTATCAGGACTGGTTTGTGTCTGCTGGCTTGTGGTTGGTACTACAGTAGCTGATATTGTTTCAGTTGTAAACTCAGTCATAGATGATGTATTCTGCTCCTCTGTTGTTGAAGTTACTGGAGATGGAGAGGTACCTGTTGTGTATATTGTCGTTTCCATTGTAGAAGATTCCGATGTGATTGTAGTCCCAGTGGACTCTTCTGTTGTGAAGGGTGTTGATTCTGGTATTGTGGGGGAACTACCAGGATTGGTTTGTGTCTGTTGGCTTTTGGTTAGTTCTACAGTAGCTGAAGTTTCTGTTGTGAACTCAGTCATAGATGATGTAGTCTGCTCTTCTGTTGTTGAAGTTACCGGAGATGGAGAGTTACCGGTTGTGTACACTGTAGTTTCCATTGTAGAAGATTCCGATGTGATTGTAGTCCCAGTGGACTCTTCTGTTGTGAAGGGTGTTGATTCTGGTTTTGTGGGGGAACTATCAGGATTGGTTTGTGTCTGTTGGCTTTTGGTTAGTTCTACAGTAGCTGAAGTTTCTGTTGTAAACTCAGTCATAGATGATGTAGTCTGCTCTTCTGTTGTTGAAGTTACCGGAGATGGAGAGGTACCTGTTGTGTATATTGTAGTTTCCATTGTAGAAGATTCTGATGTGATTGTAGTCCCAGTGGACTCTTCTGTTGTGAAGGGTGTTGATTCTGTTATTGTGGGGGAACTATCAGGATTGGTTTGTGTCTGTTGGCTTTTGGTTAGTTCTACAGTAGCTGAAGTTTCTGTTGTAAACTCAGTCATAGATGATGAATTCTGCTCTTCTGTTGTTGAAGTTACCGGAGATGGAGAGTTACCGGTTGTGTATACTGTAGTTTCCATTGTAGAAGATTCCGATGTGATTGTAGTCCCAGTGGACTCTTCTGTTGTGAAGGGTGTTGATTCTGTTATTGTGGGGGAACTATCAGGACTGGTTTGTATCGGTTGGCTTGTGGTTGGTACTACAGTAGCTGATATTGTTTCAGTTGTAAACTCAGTCATAGATGATGTATTTTGCTCTTCTGTTGTTGAAGTAACCGGAGATGGAGAGGTACCTGTTGTGTATATTGTCGTTTCCATCGTAGAAGATTCCGATGTGATTGTAGTCCCAGTGGACTCTTCTGTTGTGAAGGGTGTTGATTCTGGTATTGTGGGGGAACTATCAGGATTGGTTTGTGTCTGTTGGCTTGTGGTTAGTTTTACAATAGCTGATATTGTTTCGGTTGTAAACTCAGTCATAGATGATGTATTCTGCTCCTCTGTTGTTGAAGTTACCGGAGATGCAGAGGTACCTGTTGTGTATAGTGTTTCCATTGTAGAAGATTCCGATGTGGTTGTAGTCCCAGTGGACTCTTCTGATGTGAAGGGTGTTGATTCTGGTATTGTGGGGGAACTAACAGGATTGGTTTGTGTCTGTTGGCTTGTGGTTAGTTTTACAGTAGCTGAAGTTTCTGTTGTAAACTCAGTCATAGATGATGTAGTCTGCTCTTCTGTTGTTGATGTTACCGGAGATGGAGAGGTACCTGTTGTGTATTGTGTTTCCATTGTAGAAGATTCCGATGTGATTGTAGTCCCTGTGGACTCTTCTGTTGTGAAGGGTGTTGATTCTGTTATTGTGGGGGAACTATCAGGACTGGTTTGTATCTGTTGGCTTGTGGTTGGTACTACAGTAGCTGATATTGTTTCAGTTGTAAACTCAGTCATAGATGATGTATTCTGCTCTTCTGTTGTTGAAGTTACCGGAGATGGAGAGGTACCTGTTGTGTATACTGTAGTTTCCATTGTAGAAGATTCAGATGTGGTTGTAGTCCCAGTGGACTCTTCTGTTGTGAAGGGTGTTGATTCTGGTTTTGTGGGGGAACTATCAGGATTGGTTTGTGTCTGTTGGCTTTTGGTTAGTTCTACAGTAGCTGAAGTTTCTGTTGTGAACTCAGTCATAGATGATGTAATCTGCTCTTCTGTTGTTGAAGTTACCGGAGATGGAGAGTTACCGGTTGTGTACACTGTCGTTTCCATTGTAGAAGATTCCGATGTGGTTGTAGTCCCAGTGGACTCTTCTGTTGTGAAGGGTGTTGATTCTGTTATTGTGGGGGAACTATAAGGACTGGTTTGTATCGGTTGGCTTGTGGTTAGTTCTACAGTAGCTGATATTGTTTCAGTTGTAAACTCAGTCATAGATGATGTATTCTGCTCCTCTGTTGTTGAAGTTACTGGAGATGCAGAGGTACCTGTTGTGTATATTGTCGTTTCCATTGTAGAAGATTCTGATGTGATTGTAGTCCTAGTGGACTCTTCTGTTGTGAAGGGTGTTGATTCTGGTATTGTGGGGGAACTACCAGGATTGGTTTGTGTCTGTTGGCTTGTGGTTAGTTCTACAGTAGCTGAAGTTTCTGTTGTAAACTCAGTCATAGATGATGTAGTCTGCTCTTCTGTTATTGAAGTTACCGGAGATGCAGAGGTACCTGTTGTGTATATTGTCGTTGCCATCGTAGAAGATTCCGATGTGGTTGTTGTCCCAGTGGACTCTTCTGTTGTGAAGGGTTTTGATTCTGTTATTGTGGGGAAACTATCAGGACTGGTTTGTATCTGTTGGCTTGTGGTTGGTACTACAGTAGCTGATATTGTTTCAGTTGTAAACTCAGTCATAGATGATGTATTCTGCTCCTCTGTTGTTGAAGTTACCGGAGATGCAGAGGTACCTGTTGTGTATATTGTCGTTTCCATTGTAGAAGATTCTGATGTTATTGTAGTCCCAGTGGACTCTTCTGTTGTAAAGGGTGTTGATTCTGGTATTGTGGGGGAACTATCAGGATTGGTTTGTGTCTGTTGGCTTTTGGTTAGTTCTACAGTAGCTGAAGTTTCTGTTGTAAACTCAGTCATAGATGATGAATTCTGCTCTTCTGTTGTTGTAGTTACAGGAGATGGAGAGGTACCTGTTGTGTTTATTGTAGTTTCCATCGTAGAAGATTCCGATGTGATTGTAGTCCCAGTGGACTCTTCTGTTGTGAAGGGTGTTGATTCTGTTATTGTGGGGGAACTATCAGGACTGGTTTGTGTTTGTTGGCTTGTGGTTGGTACTACAGTAGCTGATATTGTTTCGGTTGTAAACTCAGTCATAAATAATGTTTTCTGCTCCTCTGTTGTTGAAGTTACTGGAGATGCAGAGGTACCTGTTGTGTATATTGTCGTTGCCATCGTAGAAGATTCCGATGTGGTTGTAGTCCCAGTGAACTCTTCTGTTGTGAAGGGTGTTGATTCTGTTATTGTGGGGGAACTATCAGGACTGGTTGGTGTCTGTTGGCTTGTGGTTAGTTCTACAGTAGCTGATATTGTTTCTGTTGTAAACTCAGTCATAGATGATGTATTCTGCTCTTCTGTTGTTGAAGTTACCGGAGATGGAGAGGTACCTGTTGTGTATATTGTCGTTTCCATCGTAGAAGATTCTGATTTGATTGTTGTCCCAGTGGATTCTTCTGTTGTGAAGGGTGTTGATTCTGTTATTGTTGGGGAACTATCAGGACTGGTTTGTGTCTGTTGGCTTGTGGTTAGTTCTACAATAGCTGATATTGTTTTGGTTGTAAACTCAGTCATAGATAATGTATTCTGCTCCTCTGTTGTTGAAGTTACTGGAGATGCAGAGCTACCTGTTGTGTATAATGTTTCCATTGTAGAAGATTCAGATGTGGTTGTAGTCCCAGTGGACTCTTCTGTTGTGAAGGGTGTTGATTCTGGTATTGTGGGGGAACTAACAGGATTGGTTTGTATCTGTTGGCTTGTGGTTAGTTCTACAGTAGCTGATATTGTTTCGGTTGTAAACTCAGTCATAGATAATGTAGTCTGCTCTTCTGTTTTTGAAGTTACTAGAGATGGAGAGGTACCTGTTGTGTATACTGTAGTTTTCATTGTAGAAGATTCCGATGTGATTGTTGTCCTAGTGGACTCTTCTGTTGTGAAGGGTGTTGATTCTGGTATTGTGGGGGAACTATCAGGACTGGTTGGTGTCTGTTGGCTTGTGGTTAGTTCTACAGTAGCTGATATTGTTTCGGTTGTAAACTCAGCCATAGATGATGTTTTCTGCTCCTCTGTTGTTGAAGTTACCAGAGATGCAGAGGTACCTGTTGTGTATAGTGTCGTTTCCATTGTAGAAGATTCTGATGTGATTGTAGTCCCAGTGGACTCTTCTGTTGTGAAGGGTGTTGATTCTGGTATTGTGGGGGAACTATCAGGATTGGTTTGTGTCTGTTGGCTTGTGGTTAGTTCTACAGTAGCTGATATTGTTTCGGTTGTAAACTCAGTCATAGATGATGTATTCTGCTCTTCTGTTGTTGAAGTTACCGGAGATGGAGAGGTACCTGTTGTGTATATTGTCGTTTCCATCGTAGAAGATTCTGATGTGATTGTAGTCCCAGTGGACTCTTCTGTTGTGAAGGGTGTTGATTCTGTTATTGTGGGGGAACTATCAGGACTGGTTTGTGTCTGTTGGCTTGTGGTTAGTTCTACAGTAGCTGATATTGTTTCGGTTGTAAACTCAGTCATAGATGATGTATTCTGCTCCTCTGTTGTTGAAGTTACCGGAGATGCAGAGGTACCTTTTGTGTATAGTGTTTTCATTGTAGAAGATTCCGATGTGGTTGTAGTCCCAGTGGACTCTTCTCTTGTGAAGGGTGTTGATTCTGGTTTTGTGGGGGAACTATCAGGATTGGTTTGTGTCTGTTGGCTTTTGGTTAGTTCTACAGTAGCTGAAGTTTCTGTTGTGAACTCAGTCATAGATGATGTAGTCTGCTCTTCTGTTGTTAAAGTTACCGGAGATGGAGAGTTACCGGTTGTGTACACTGTAGTTTTCATTGTAGAAGATTCCGATGTGATTGTTGTCCCAGTGGACTCTTCTGTTGTGAAGGGTGTTGATTCTGTTATTGTGGGGGAGCTATCAGGACTGGTTTGTATCGGTTGGCTTGTGGTTGGTACTACAGTAGCTGATATTGTTTCAGTTGTAAACTCAGTCATAGATGATTTATTCTGCTCCTCTGTTGTTAAAATTACCGGAGATGCAGAGGTACCTGTTGTGTATAGTGTTTCCATTGTAGAAGATTCAGATGTGGTTGTAGTCCCAGTGGACTCTTCTGTTGTGAAGGGTGTTGATTCTGTTATTGTAGGGGAACTATCAGGACTGGTTTGTATCGGTTGGCTTGTGGTTGGTACTACAGTAGCTGATATTGTTTCAGTTGTAAACTCAGTCATAGATGATGTATTCTGCTCCTCTGTTGTTGAAGTTACTGGAGATGGAGAGGTACCTGCTGTGTATATTGTCGTTTCCATTGTAGAAGATTCTGATGTGATTGTAGTCCCAGTGGACTCTTCTGTTGTGAAGGGTGTTGATTCTGGTATTGTGGGGGAACTACCAGGATTGGTTTGTGTCTGTTGGCTTGTGGTTAGTTCTACAGTAGCTGAAGTTTCTGTTGTAAACTCAGTCATAGATGATGTATTCTGCTCTTCTGTTGTTGAAGTTACCGGAGATGGAGAGGTACCTGTTGTGTATATTGTCGTTTCCATTGTAGAAGATTCTGATGTGATTGTAGTCCCAGTGGACTCTTCTGTTGTGAAGGGTGTTGATTCTGTTATTGTGGGGGAACTATCAGAATTGGTTTGTGTCTGTTGGCTTGTGGTTAGTTCTACAGTAGCTGATATTGTTTCAGTTGTAAACTCAGTCATAGATGATGTATTCTGCTCTTCTGTTGTTGAAGTTACCGGAGATGGAGAGGTACCTGTTGTGTATAGTGTTTCCATTGTAGAAGATTCAGATGTGGTTGTAGTCTCAGTGGACTCTTCTGTTTTGAAGGGTGTTGATTCTGGTATTGTGGGGGAACTATCAGGATTGGTTTGTGTCTGTTGGCTTTTGGTTAGTTCTACAGTAGCTGAAGTTTCTGTTGTAAACTCAGTCATAGATGATGAATTCTGCTCTTCTGTTGTTGAAGTTACTGGAGATGGAGAGGTACCTGTTGTGTATATTGTTGTTGCCATCGTAGAAGATTCCGATGTGATTGTTGTCCCAGTGGACTCTTCTGTTGTGAAGGGTGTTGATTCTGGTATTGTGGGGGAACTATCAGGACTGGTTTGTGTCTGTTGGCTTGTGGTTAGTTCTACAGTAGCTGATGTTGTTTCAGTTGTAAACTCAGTCATAGATGATGTATTCTGCTCTTCTGTTGTTGAAGTTACAGGAGATGGAGAGGTACCTGTTGTGTTTATTGTAGTTTCCATCGTAGAAGATTCCGATGTGATTGTAGTCCCAGTGGACTCTTCTGTTGTGAAGGGTGTTGATTCTGTTATTGTATGGGAACTATCAGGACTGGTTTGTGTCTGTTGGCTTGTGGCTTGTTCTACAGTAGCTGATGTTATTTCTGTTGTAAACTCAGTCATAGATGATGTAGTCTGCTTTTCTGATGTGGAAGTTCCTTGAGATGTAGAGGTACCTGTTGCGTATAGTGTAGTTTCCAGTGTTGGACCAGTTTTCTTTGTAGATGTTTCAAATGAGGTCACAGGGAACTCGTCTGTTGTAAGTGATGTAGATTCTGTTTTTGTGGTACAAATAGTAGGGCTGTTTTTTGTCTGTTGGCTTGTGGTTTTTTCAGCAGTAGCTGAAGATATTTCAGTTGTAAACTCAGAACATTGATCTGTTGTGAATAAAGTAGTTTTAGTCGTAGTATACCAAATTATTTATAACATTTAATTATAGAGCTGTGAACAACTGCACATTTAACATACCATGGATTAATAATTGCATGAGTTTTACCAAGATAACATCAGTCTTTGTACTAGATTGATGCTACTGTATAACAGCTACTATCAATCATTTTAAGTTTTAAAATGTGCTATTATTTTAGATGATTACAAAGATTGTTTTATATTGAAGACATTGGGTACATTATGAACTGTACTTGTATTACTGGAAGATGTGAATTGAATTGTTCAATCGTTCATATATTACACAATTCCACTTAAAGAATAGCCAGTTTCTATTGTAGTTTCAGTGTCTTTGTTTATCTTAAGCCATTATCATTTTTGGTTGTCACATTCATCTTTTAACTCCAACATACATTTTAGATTGATTAAAATGTGGAGATAATCATTAAAATTCTGTAGAAACTTACCTGTGTTTGCTCCAATGCAGATGAAATGCAGCAGCAGAAGTAAGGCAATAAAGTGCAGTATTTTCCATAAATACATGTTTAGAAAGTTCCTGTAAGATGGTTGTTTTTGTTTGAAATGAAAATGATTTAGCCAATTGCAAATGCACCAGCCATCAGTGTGTCTCCTCTGTTAAATTTCAACATCAACCAGCAACAAGATGTGTGCATGCTCCCTGCAAACAATAAATGTCATAAGGTATGGCCTCTTTTGCATTAAAAACCATGTTCACACCTTAAGTAAACCACAGTACGCTGATTGGAAGTTTATGTGGTTTTGAAAGGTCAGAACAGTTATATGACCTTGTCTTCTTGTTACACCCTTCCCAAGAAATGAGAAAAACATATACTTTCACTTTTTCATTTGTTTGTCTTTTTCAAAATAGTATTTGCTCTCAGTTGTGATATGTACATTTAAGACAATAAGATCTGTTTAACCAGACATTAGGAAAGATTGTGTACACACATTACAATAAACCACCAAAGTTTTACAGTAAGTTCAGTGCCAATTTCAGTTTCATTCACTGCATTTTATTTAGAAAA